TGGCGACATGGACTATCGAGGTCCGCAACGATGGGCATATCAGCTATATATTGGCAAAACAACCAGCGGCTTGTGAGTATGGTGAACTGCGGCGCCGATGTACATATCCTCCACATACCTGGGGCCGGTACTACTACCACGGCTGACAGCTGTGGAGGGAAAAGACTTGCTGCAACCTCGAGACCTGAGAGCCACGGAAATGGGAGGAGGGACCCGGATCGGTGCGGTGACGTACTCTTCTTGGACTCGAGCGACTCGAGGCCGCGCGACCTGCGCTCGCTTGAATCTCCCTTGCCTCTTCCCAGCCTCCTCCCATCTGAGTCCCGCATCCCTGCTACGTATCTTTCATGAGCCAGAGCGACCCAGGCAGCATGGCATATATCCCGGCAACCAAGCGTCTGTACGCTCAGAGGACAGGCCGAATCACCGAGGAGCGCTGGATTCGGGGCGCGGCGGCTTGACATCCCGAGAGGTGAATGCAGGTAGGTGGTACGATGGAGAGTGATGTTGCACGATATTCTTCCGTCCAGCGTTCATGGACGGCGTCGGCCAGCCCGGGCACCGCTAGGCCTGCGTAGACACCTCCAGAGGGGCGCCTCTCACGGCGGTCTCGCCCGACGATGCAGCGCTGGAGAAGAGGGCACTGGCAAGAGGCTGGTCGGCATCTGGAGGCGGGGCACGGGCGATCTTTGCATTGCCAGAGCGGACGACGGAGCACAAGACTCAGAGCTCAGCCTGGCTTCACCATCGGGCTCCATGAGCGGGGAGAGACACGGGGACGAACCCGATAGGCCGACGGCGGCAAGATTAGATGTGCAGTGTGATCTAATCAGATCACATGGGCCCTGCCAAAATTCGAGGTGAGTGGAACGACTTTGGATTGCGCGCTTGGAATATAAGCAGCGGGTTGCTGCCCCGTCTGCTCGTCGCCCCCGACGCCCTCGGCTTGCTACCCCTCACGCGACCTCAAGGTCCCCAGCAGCCGCCAGCCCCGTCCCCGCCGCCATGGACATCGTTCTCCGCATCGCAGACAAGTACGTGCTCGATAGAGCATGGGCCGCGCTTCTTCCCGTGTCCGCGTTCACAACCGCCGTCTCGAATGCGGCCGGCCTATACAACTCCTCTTCTCACGTCTCAGCCCCGTCTTCTCAGCCCTCTGCCTGGTCGCAACTCATCTCATATATCCCCCATCCGCCATTCCCTGACGAGCTCCTCACCGCACCCCTCATCGACTCTGGCAAGGTCGCGTCAGCATGGCCGCGAGATTACTTTCCACGACAGGTCATCTCCCTCTTCGTCCTCACCCTCATCGGCATCCACGCCCTCTACTTCCTTTTTGCCGGTTTCTCATACCAGTTCATCTTTAACCATGAGATGATGAAGCACCCTCGCTTCCTCAAGAACCAGGTCAAGCTCGAGATCCAATCGAGCTTGAGGGCGTTCCCGGGAATGATTGTCCTCACCCTTCCCTGGTTCGTGGCGGAGGTCCGAGGACACACAAAGCTCTATGACGACGTTCAGGAGTATGGCTGGGGATACCTGTTCTTCTCAATACCTTTGTGAGTGTTGCTAGCCCTCCTGCTGACATGTGGCGAGCTGACATGCGCCCTGCAGGTTCCTGGTATTTACGGATTACTGCATCTACTGGATCCACCGTTGGGAACATCACCCGATTTGCTACAAGTGGCTTCACAAGCCCCACCACAAGTGGCTGAGTGAGTCTTCCTTGCGCTTCCAACCCTCCCGCCGCAGTCTACTGACACCGCGCTCCCTCCAGTCCCCACGCCGTTCGCCTCGCATGCGTTCCACCCTCTCGACGGCTACCTCCAGTCTGTCCCCTACCACCTGTTCATCCACCTTTTCCCCCTCCAGCGCCAGCTCTACCTCTTCCTGTTCGTCTGCGTCAACCTCTGGTCCATCCTCATCCACGACTCGGACATGATCACCGGACACGCGCTCGAGAAGGTCATCAACGGCCCCGCCCACCACACCCTGCACCACCTCTACTTCACCGTGAACTACGGCCAGGTACGTCCCGTCTCGCCTCGCTTAGTTCCCCAGATCAAACCGGCCAGAAGCTGATGTACGCGCGCGTGCTCCAGTACTTCACGTGGGCAGACCGTATGGGCAACTCGTACCGGCAGCCCGCCTCCGAGCTCGACCCCATGCTCGAGATCAAGGCCCAGGAGGCGAAGAAACAAAAGGCGGCGCTCGGCAAGGAGCAGTAGAGTTGCGCTCCCCCTGCCCGCCCCGCCCGCCCCTCCCGCGTGCTCGTTATTTTGATTTATGCTGTCTGTCACGATACGCCACGACCACGGCTCGTCCAAATGTACATTACTATACATACCGCCCACCGCCTCGGCAGGAGCCTGCCGCGCAGGAGGAGGCACACACCATCTCTCAGTTACTAGTAGAGGAACGATGATCTAATAGGTTGCTATCTCCAGAGCCGTGTAGTTCATCTAATGGACGTCTTGTTTGCATTCGGTCTGGCAAGATTTGCCAGCAATCATATCCTACGTTTCATGGTGCTTGAGATGGCGGGGAGGCTCGTTCGTGAGACGTCGAGGATTGCTTCTCGTTGACTGTCGTTACATATTGAGAGGTGCCGGCTCTGGCAGCCCAAGCTGGATTCGGGACGGAACTAACCATTGCAACATGAGAAAGACAGCACAGCAATACAGTACCGGACACGATGATAGTTCAAAAAATATCAGGACGACGGGGCAGGAAAATACAGTGAGACATAGCGGGTCGAACTCGAGGGTGAAGTATGTATGTAGTTGGAAGTACACAGTGATGATGGAATCCCGGGACCCGCCTGGAGGCGCTGCGCGACGCGTTTTTCTCGAGTGTACTATCCCCCTGACGTGCCGCTCGCACCCAGCGGTCCCTCCATCGTTCCTCCTCATATCTTGAGCGCGGTCACTCGAGCGGGAACGCAGCCGACACTGCGTGACCTGGGACAAGGACCCATGGGGCGGGGGAGGGCTCACCGCTTCTGCTGCTTGCGCTTCACTTCGTCGTCCTTGCACGCGTGCAGCATCAGCTTGTTCGGCTGCCCGGGCGTCATGCCCGAGTGGCCCTTGGACCAGTCGTACGAGACGGCGTACGCGAAGATGGTGCCCGTGCGGTTGAACGCGGTGCAGGGCACCGGACCGGGGGCGGGCTCGAAGGCTGGAAGAAGGACGAGTCTGAGCAGGAGGAAAAAACATGGCACAACATAGTGACGCACACTTGAGACGCGTGCGTGCGTCTTTGTCCCAGTAGTTGATGGTTCCGTCGGAGCCTGGATCATCATGCGTCTCAGCGCAAAGAAGTGCGACAAGGGTGGGTGGATTTACCGCAGGTTGAGAATGTGCCGTGCACAGGATGGAAGGAGATGTCGTTCACGGAGTAGACGAGGGATTGGTCCTTCGAAGTTGGGGTCTGATCGCGACGGTGGCATTTGAAGGAAAAGTTATTGGGAGCCTGCTTGTCGTCGACATACCTGATGGTTGTGAGTGAGAGAGATGTTCGCGTTACGAGCAACGTATCATTAACGCACTGGATGGCTACACGGCCTTCAATACTGCCAACAGCGAAGCCGTCCGCGCCAGGGAAGCACGAGACTACCCGTGTCTGCCACTTGAGTGGAGAGACAAGGGTCTAAAATGTGGGCAGAGTGGGTGTGAGACAAGTCCGTGTCGTGTCGTATGAGTGGTCTGAGATTCACGCACCTTGAATGCGGTGGTAGGGTTCTGCAAGTTGAACACTTGTATGTGGCGTTCGGCTGTACCGACTACCATGAGAGGATACACCACGTCCATCGTGTAACACCGCTCAGGCAGCGTCACGGTGGAGACAGGGTTTGGCGTGCGCAAGTCCCAATACTGTGCGAGAATTGAGACGAAGATGAGAGGAACGGGGACGCAGGGACTGACCTTGATCGTCTTGTCCCAACTGCCGGTGGCCAGCACCCCGCCTTGAGGAGCCTCTATCCATCGCACCACTCGGATGGGCGCGTCGTGTTGAGCGACCTGCGTCGCCTGGGCAGTAGTCACGTCGAACATCCTCCCAGCATTGTCTGCGCCACCGGAGAATATCTTGGACCCATCCTGCGAGTAAAGGGGCGCACCGTGGTTGGAGTCCGCTCCCTTCCACATTCTATTTACACGACATGCACCGACGTACCTTGTTCCAGCATACGCTCAGCACGGGGCCCTGGTGGGGATACATGGCCTTGCCTTGTGTTTGTCCAGTCGCGCCGACCTCGTAGATTCGAACCTGGCCACCGAGCAATGTCAGACATACGTTTCCCGGTCTTCCGACGCGTCATCAGAGATCACAGTCGTACGTTGTTATCCCAAGACCCGACCGCGAGATAATCAGCAGTAGGCGAGAAGGACAAGGAGGATATTGAGTCGGTCGGGGGGTCGGCGACTTCGATGTCTTTCTCCACAGCCGCGCTGGTCGAGCCCATGTTGCCCGAGTTGGCGCTTGCAAAGAACGACATGGCGGATGGACCACTGGCCTGGTTGCCCTTTGCGAGAGAGAGGAGGAGAGCAGATGGCAGTCAAGACTCAACTAGAGATGAGCTTCGGGTCCGACATGCGGCACGTTCACTTCCACGACGCGTGACTCAACTCCTAAACAGGCAGTCACGCATGTCACACCGCGGTTTCTTGGCAAATCAGGACAACTTGACGGAGACGTCACCAGCACTTGTGCCGAGTTGCTTGTAAGTGCCTATAGTTACGTTCTGCTGGGGATGGGGACAGGATCACCTCGAGTTCTGTGTCCCATCAACCATGACCGACGATGGGTAAGCGCCCACGATGTTAACCATGCATTGTAACCATACTGCACTATAAGTACTGCCATCTACTCGCGCAGTAACGGCGATTGAGTGCGTTATGGTCTCGTGAGACCACGACGGCATCTGCACCTTCAAATTGTGTGGGGGCAGCGGGTCTCAGGCGCTTGATTTCCACCATGAGTTACACAGACAAAAAATCTTTCGACCAACCTGGGGATCGAACCCAGAATCTCCAGCTAACAAGTGAGAACACCGGAAACTGACGCCTTAGCCATTAGGCCAGTCGGCCAACAACCCAAAATTCTCAGCCTGTACCTCGATGTTGTAGCAGCCTTCAGGATGCTCAGTTCAATCCAAGTCGTTCATACATGAGTCGTAGTATAAGGTCGTATGCATTCAGTCGTACACGCGCAGCTGCCTCGTTCGAAGGGCCAGCCCGAACACCCACCGTATATCAGAGTTTCCCATCCAACGACGGCCCAGTCCCACAGCCCCATCTTGTAGATTTAGATGTGCGCAAACTCGTCCGTTGCCTGAATGGGGCCCATTCGTTATTTCTCCAATCACTGGAAGGCCAAGGAAAGCCCACCTTCACGAGGAGCCTGCTGGTCCCGGGCTCACGGGAGGAGTGGCCTGCATCGGGGACGATGTGGAGCGTGATCTCGGGCCAGACCTTCTTGAGCGCATACGCCGTCGTCGCCGGACAGATCACGTCGTATCGGCCTTGGACGACCACACACGGAATGTGACGACTGCCATGAATTGGACGATGAGGCGGGGCGAGGGGAGACGAGACGAAAAACTAATGGGCACGTACATCTTGTCGATCTCCTGCTTGTCCAGCAGCTGGCCGTCTCTCATGAAGCCCTGTTCAGTCGGTTAGCAGCAGCGCGCCATGGGATGGGAGAAGAGGAGCACTCATACGTACGTCGTTCACAAAGTAGTGGTTCTCTATCCTCGCGAATGCGCTGCAGATTCGTGTGAGCCGCGAGACGCGTAGCTCACGCCCATGGCAACTCACTTCGCAAAGTCGTCCTTCTCGGCCTCTGCAACATGCGCCGGATCGACGTGCAGCTTCGACGTCCACATCTCCCACTTGGTCCACGCGCGCGCGGCCGTCAGGCGCGTCTCGTCATCCGTAGAGTTGAGTTGTGCGTGGTACGCCAGGACGAGGTCCTGTCGCTCTGCCTCAGGGATGGGCGCAATAAACTCCTCCCTTTGGTGGAATTGAAGTGAGTTCCGGCGAGACGGCATAAGCAGCTGCGTCAAATTCGCACCATGCTTCGGGGAAGAGGTGCGATGCGCCTTCTTGATAGAAGAAACGAAGCTCGCTATTAGAGCAGAGGTTGGTGAGCCAAACGATACAATGATTTCAGCGGACAACTCACCTCTTGCGCAGTGTGAAAACACCACTGCACGACCAGTCACGTCATGAAGGTGTATGATACAAGGGACGTGCATACCGGAGCACCATCGTCTTCACGCGATCAGGATGGGACTGAACGAATCTCGTTCAAGCAGATTCAGCGAGCAGGAATGAACAACAACGGCTGACCTGAGCGTACGCGAGGGAGAGCGTAGACCCCTTGCGTCCATTCGTCGCGTTCAATCCCGCTCTCTGATACTCGAGATCCAAACAGGAGGCTCACCCAGGAGCCGCCAAAGACGTGCCACTTCTCGATCCCGAGATGTTCACGTATTTTCTCGATGTCTTTCACGAGATCCCATGTCGTATTTTCCTCCAGAGATGCAGTGCTACACGGAGATCGGGGGTTTTGAGTTCGGCAATCGTCCGGCAAACCCTGGTTGACTATGGTATTGCGTATACGTACGGGGTGGATTTGCCTGCGCCTCTCTGGTCGAACAGAACGATCTATACCGCGATACGAGTGCGTCCATCAGATCTTCATTGTCGACATCACTTACAGGCATGAGCACGCGACACACACCTTGTACTTGCTAGGATCGAAGAACGAGCGGTCCTTCGCATCGAATCCTCCGCCAGGACCGCCGTGCAAGAACACGACTAGAAGCGCGATTAGCATGCAACGCGCATGATCACCGCCGGATAAAGCACGCACCAGGGTTCCCATCCCTCTTACCGCATATCTCGTAGCTGACGGCACCGACTGTGTTATCTATGCTGGCATCGCGTGACGACAAGCTACGCACTAGAGCGTATGGATGTCCGAGACCTTGAGCGTCCCAGTCTCGTAAGGCTCGATCGGCGGATACATGTGGGGATAGGGAGGCGTTGTGCTGAGGGATCTCGTGCACTGGGTCGACCTTAGGCTGGAGGTGAAAGCACTATGTTGACGTCTGCAAAGTTGGAGAGGCTGATATGTTCCAAGGTTCTTCCGTAGACCCGATACGAACACACAGGCTGCAGTGCGCAAGACCGTGCGGGAGAAGATGCCCGATCTGAGCATGCTCCTGGTACGAGCACTCGCAGCTGTCACCTAATCTAGCTCGAGCTTCCGGGCAAAAAAACCAATAGCGACTTTAGTCCGAGACTGCCGTACATGGCATGTCACCTTCCATCTTGGGTGTACTGTATGATGTCATGGCCCCCGTCATGGCTATGCGACTCTTGGAGAGACTCTGAGCGAGATGGGTGGGTATAAGTTACACTATTCGACCCTGCATGCCCTTCAACTTCACCAATGACGACGCGCAAGAACCTCATCCGCCTCCAAGCTGCAACACAGGAGTACGACTGGGGACGACAAGGCTCGTCTTCTCTCGCCGCTCGCCTCGGTCATAACGCCGTTGGCCATGGATTCCAAATTGACGAGACAAAGTCGTACGCAGAGGTATGGTCCGCTTCCAGCTGCCGTGCTCTCCGACGCTTACCCGTGCAACGCAGATATGGATGGGCACTCACTCGAACGGCCCCGCACATCTGTACGACTCGCCGTCCACATCTCTTCTCTCGCTCATCTCCTCCGATCCCAAGTACTATCTCGGAGAGACCCTCCTCCGCAAATGGCCATCAACAACCCACGTACCTTATCTCTTCAAAGTCCTCTCCATAAAGAAAGCGCTCCCGCTGCAGGCGCACCCGGACAAGGGTCTGGCAGAGCAACTCCAGCTCAAAGACCCCTCCAACTTCGTAGACCCCAACCACAAGCCCGAGATTGCAGTTGCAATCGGGGAGCCCCTCCGCGTGACACGGGCTCAATACTTGGCGGAAGGGAAGGTGAACAAGAACGAGCCTGACGTGGGCGACGCAGACACGGCGTTCACCGGCTTCGTCGGTTTCCGCCCGCTCGAGGAGATCAAGACCTTCCTCCAGACCATCCCCGAAATCGCGGCCGCGATCGGCAGCCGCCCGCTGGTCGACGGGTTCATCGCGAGCCCGTCCAAAGACGTCTTGAAGCAGATCTACGGCAGGCTGCTGAAGCGCGGCGTGGAGGCGCGCGAGGAGGTCGCACAATGCATCGAGCAACTGCAGAGCCGCATCAAGGGGGACGGAGGCACGCTCGGCTTCCGCACCTCGACGGTCGCCAGCCTCGTGCTCAAGGTGAACTCCCAGTACCCGGGCGACGCGGGTGTGCTCGCCACAGCGTTCTTCATGAACTTTGTGGAGCTGCGGAAGGGCGAGGGCATCTACATCGGCGCGGACGAGATCCACGCTTACCTTGAGGGCGGTGCGTCCCAATTGCCTAGCCATATCCCTGTCTGCTGGAAGCTCATCGTCCCCGGACCATCTCAGATATTATCGAGTGCATGGCAGTCTCGGACAACGTCGTGAACGCAGCGTTTGATTCTCCTGACTCGCTGGCTTCACAAGTCGACACATTCGTCGACATGCTCACGTACACCGCCCGGCCGCCCTCGCACTGGGCTCTACCCGCACAAAAGTATCAACACTCGCAACTCGGTCGCTCGGTCAAATACGATCCACCAATGGAGGAGTTCGTCGTCGTCGGCACATTCCTCAGCGCAAAGAACGCGAAGGATGAATGTCTAGGCGCTGTGGACGGTCCAACGACCGGGATCGTGACGAGAGGGCGAGTGAAGATCGCTACGAACAAAGGGGAAGTCACGGAACAACTGGAGTTGGGCGAGGGTGGAGTGGTCTTCGTTCCGCCCGGCAACGAGATCCAGGTTGAGGTGTTCGAAGGACAAGGTTCCGAAGAAGCAGGCGAGGTCTGGTGGTCGCTATTTGGGGCATAGAGACGACGATCAGTGCCCGTCCCAAGACACGAGCTCGCTGCCCGGGGGACTGCGATTTGTAGCAATATCACACACGATGTAGCACAGCACATGCCAGATGTACAACAGCACAACTCCATAGAATACAACATCCTCAGCCTAGATCGCTCTATACATGCGCCAGCAGCGCACACGACAAAACGCTCAGACATACAACCACTTGCCGCGACCCGAGGCCCACTTCGAGAGCTCCACGGTGCTCACGCTTTCGAACTGCGTGCGAATCGAGGGCTGGGGCACCATGCCCTCGCCGAGCTGACCGTCCTCCCGACCAGGGTCCGGAGTCGCCGGCGGGGAGAGCGGCGGGGAGTCTTCGGTCTCCTCGATCGCGATTTCATCATATGGCGAGAGGATACCGAGTCCGGAGCCACCAACGGCAGTCACGTACGGCTGGAAATCGGCCGCCTTGAGCGAGGCGATGAGCGCCTGTAGCTTCTCATCAGGGAATTCTGAGGGACACATGTGAGTAAGCCAAGGGTGAGGGAGTCTCCAGGGGGACACGCACCATCCGGGACGAGCGTGACGGCACATCCGCCGCCTCCAGCGCCGGTGAGCTTCGTGCTCAGGCGGTACGGCGCGCCGGCTGTCTTCGCACGAATAACCTCCAGCGAAGGGTGAGACACGCCGAGCGCAGCCAGACGGACATGGTTCTCGTCAATGAGAGCCTAGAAGGAGTGACCATCAGGATTCTCCAGCACAGACATATTCACCGTCAACATACCGAGAGACCACGCAGGAGCACGTTGCGCGGGATCTCAGGATCCGCGAGCGCCCGACGGGCCTCGTTGCTGATGACCTGAATAGCGTCGAGGATCTTGCCGACCGTCTCTGGCTCCATCGCCTTCTTCCTTGCCACACCCGCCACGAGCGCCTTCGTGTCCCGCGGGACCTTCGAGTCGATGAGCAGGAACCGCAGTGACTTGAAGCCCTGGATCTGGTCCATCCCGCTCCTCTTCCCGAACCCAGGCCGCACATACGCGAGCGCGCCACCGAAGACGGCGACCGAGTTGTCGACCCCTGAGGGGTTCCCGTGCAGGACCTTCTCGGAGACAAACGCCCACCGGTTCGTCT